TCCACCAAAGGCCACAGCTCCTGTCAGGTAGCTTTCTCTCTCTCTGGGTTCAGGGAACAGTTTTGTCCCTTCGGCCCTAGGAGTGCTAACAGGTATCGCACCATCTCTTACTGCTCTTCCTAAAGTCTACCCACAGCTTTGAAAGAGCTCCTGTATTAAGCTCTTCTCAAATTATCCATTTTGAGTGTGCCAGGTCCCTGATTGATACAGTGTGTTTGATGAATGGATATTAGTTCAGACTAGTTGGAGCATGAGGTGTGTGTGATGAAACAGCAAAACATCATGTAGGAACAGTAGGCTGAGAGCAGATGGTGAAGGGGCTTGTCTTCCAGGCCAGGGAATGGGAACCTCAGAGGGTTTTAGACGAGGAGTGCCATACTTTAAGAAAACTAATTGGACAGCTGCGTGTAGAAGGGTTCAGCAATCAGACATGGGGAGAGAAGTTAGGAGATGATTACAACTGCTATTACAGGAAGATAACACTTTGTAATTATCAGATTGGCAAAGTGCCAAAGATTTGATAGCACAGCACATTGATAAGGATGTGGAGGAATAGTGCTTTCAGACATCGCTAGTGAGGGCATAATCTGATAAACCTCTTTGGAAGGCAATTTGATAATATCTATCAATATTGTAAATGAGCATAAGCTATTGATCCAGCAATTCCTCATCTAGGTACTTAACCTACAGGTAATATTGCACACATGCTAAATAATTTATGTGTAAGGCTATCCATTGTAGCATTGTTCTAGTGGCTCAATATTGGAACAACTGAAATGTCCATCAGTTACAGACTGGTAAACAAGTAGAGCACAGCCCATGGCATGGACTACTATGCCGCAGTTAAAAAGAATGAAATGACTATATATACTCACATGGAAAGATCTCCAAGTATAATGTTAATGACAAAGGTAAGGTGCCTAATATTTTACATAATATGCTTCTATTTGGGTGGGAGGATAAAAGGATATTTTGCACTTAAGTTTGTAAATGCAAAACCCAGAAGAATAAAGGAAACAGGTACAGGATGGTTGCTCTCTGAAGAGAACTGAATGGCTGGGATCAAAGGAAGGGAGGAGATTTACTTTTTATTCTAATCTTTTTGTATCTGTGCATAAATTATCTATGTTTAAAAAATCCACGGCACTGCCATCTTAGACCCAAACTTCTACCTTGATATTAGTTCTAAAAATAAGACTATGAATAGCTTTCTTGGTGAAATAACACAACTGAAAGGTAGTCAACTAAAAAAAAAACAAAAACAAAAAAAAAACTTCATAATAAAGCATTTGAATTCCTGAGCAGAACGTTGAGCTTGTTTACCAGGTAAGTAAATGGCCTTGAACTGTCTTGCCTGGCCTTGTCAGTTCTTAAAGTTCAGACTAACTACAATATCTGAAAAATTGGAAGGCAGGTCTTTGAATAGTACCTGCATCCTTCTGTGACTGTTGCTAATCCAAGTAGGTAGGGGGCAGAGCTGTCAATCAGGGAATTCAGCCCCTTGGATAGGTTGATACAGTGGCTTACTTAACGTCTTTTCTAAACTGGAGAGATTATAAGGCACCACCCATTCAGAGCTCTCAGTTTCTCCATCAGGATTGTTCTTTCATTCGTCCTCATCTAGGCAGTACCCTCCAGAAAGGAAGACCATGTGCTTGCTTGTCATTGCATTCTTAGTGCCCAGCACTGAACATGCTCAAACATCAGCTCAGTTGAATTGAACACGCTTTCCGCGTCATATTGCCCCTGCCCTTCCCGAAAGTTAAGCTGGGTAAATAATTGACCCCTCATCTCCCTTCATGTTAATTGCAATGGCCAACTTATTTTCTTCATAAGAGAAAAAAAAATAGTCAAGTAGTGTGACTGAGTTTTCAAGTTGGTGATGAGACTTTTAAATTAAATGCAATTTAGTCATCTAATTTCTGTGATACTAGAGTAATTGCATGTTTTCTAAAACACTGTATTACCTTGTAACATTACCCACAGAAGTTGAATCTTCACATCTTGCTGCTTTAGTTCATTTCCTAGTTAATACAATTAAAACTTTTCTTGGCAATAACTCTTGCATTGCAGTCAGAACTTCAGGATTAGAACTTCTATGTAAATTGGTCATTTCTCTATTCTTATGGGGTTGAGACTCTGGAGTGATACAATTATGTAATACCATACTGAATTATGTCTAACATAGCCAATCATAAATGAAGTTTAATAAACTGACTGCTTGACTAATGTGCAATTTTATTGCTTCCCTAGACGATTTTTTAGAAGATTTTAAAAAGATTTAGAGAGAGAGTGGGGGTGGGAAGAGGGAGAGAATCTCAAGCAGACTCCCCACTGAGTGTGGAGCCCAACGTGTAGTTCCACCCCAACACCCTGAGATCATGACCTGACCCGAAATCAAGAGTCTGGGCTTAGCCCACTGAGCCACCCAGGCGCCCCTCAGTGTTATTTTTTTAAAGATTTATTTATTTGACAGAGAGAGAAAACACGAGCAGGGGGGAGCGAGAGAGGGAGAAGCAGGCCCCCCCACCGAGGAGCGAGCCCGATGTGGGACTCGATCCCAGGACCCCGGGATCATGACCCGAGCCGAAGGGAGACGCTTAACATCTGAGCCACCCAGGCGCCCTGTGTTTATTTTTTACGAAAACATATGGTTATTACATTTATTGGTACACTATGCTAGCATTGTAATGACCATTATTATTAAATTTGCTTAATAAAAACTTACTAAAATAACTCTAATCAATACTTCTTTATCGCTATGCCCAGCATGGGGCTTAAACTCATAACCTGAGATCAATAGTCAAGAGTCGCATGTTTTACCAGCTGGGCTAGCCAAGCACCCTCCCCACCCCCCCATCAATGCTTTTAATTCAGGGGTGTGATTTTTTTTTTTTTTTTTGTCAAAAAAACCCCATCACAGTTTAAGCCTAGGGAAAACATAATAATGTCTAACTTTCTGAAATGGCAGAAAGACTTGAGAGGACAGGATGAATAGGCAAGATCTGCTGAGGACAGAACTGACATGATTTGGAAGTCTGATGTTACAAATTGGCCAGCTCAGGGACCAGATGCAGACCACAAAAAAATGTTTTGTTCGGCTCATACAATGTTTTTAAAATGCTTAAATTTGTCTGCCAAGTCACCTGGTCCCCCACTCCCTAATGACTTTCTCCCAACAGCCTAACTGACGTTACCTGCTTGGCCCTCGTAATGCCTGGAGAAGAGTGACAGCTTTGAAAGAAATATGGAACTTGGGAGGGAACGAAGTGAAAATGGAGATTTTAAGAATGTATGAATTTGACAGGCAAGTGAGCCCACTGCTACAGAACTGTACACATAGGTTCAGAGTTGCAGCTCTGGAGAACATGCATACAAAGAAGCTAAAAGCAAAACCTTGGGCATCACTCACATTTAAGGGCTGTGAATCACTGGAATCATAATGAAAGGGAAAAAGCTGTTATAGGAGAAACAGGGTAGAGCAAGCTATGGTCGAAGAGAGAACTTCAAGAAGAGAGAGGAAGGCTCCGCTGAGATGAGCAAGCATCAACAATGGTTCAAGCTGCCATGATTCTGTGCTTTTATTATCTAGTACAAACTGCAGGGATTTTTTGGATGCAACTACTTAACTGTCCTGTGAAAGTTCAGCCCACAAATAGGAATTGCAAGCCCATCAGTGCCGTAAGCATGGTTTTTTCCTGAAGTGTTTCTCCTTGGTGTTAAACTATCAGTCTTTAGAATAGCCTTACAATACCAGTCCTAGTTTCTTATGTGACCACGTGGTTGAGAATTTCATTCCATGTTGTCTCTTTTTATTACCAGAATTCATTCTCCTAAGCAATAGATTTTTTACCCCTTTTCTTTGTAGATGTTGCAAATTGTGAAATGATTAGGATTGCTTCAAGTCAGCCAATAGTTGAGGAAAAAGAATTCCAGATTCACCTCCAGCTAAGGAATAGAGCTTCGCAGGCCACATTTTTCACCGGCCTCAATTATGCCTGGGTGACTCTACACTTGTTCACATATCCTAAAAGCCACCTTAAGTTCTTTTCTGGAACAAGATAGAACATAGAAATTCTTAAGGTATTACAAGCACTTTAATACTTATGGTCATTATTAAAATCATGTCTGCAGTTACGTCACTAGACCCAAAAAAGCTTTTTGCAACTCTTAGAACTTTCCATTTAAGAATAATGGGTGATAACATTGAGTGGAATGCCAAATTTTTAATAGTGGAAAATTATAGCAAACTGAGTGGAAAAAATGAAGATTCAGCTAGATGTTTTTGTGAGGATATGTAGCATATTTATTCCTGGGAATTTAGGAAGAGCAATTTGCCCTCTTTAATGACTTTGGAAGCTCTCTTTCTAACTCAACTAACACTATTCAAAATCACTATGTTACATAGTGGGCTCTGGAGCCAGACTACCTGGTTTCAAATCCCAGTCCACTTGAGCTGTGTGACTCAGGCGACTCACCTACCTCACATGAAAAATGGTGCTAAAAGAACCTACCTCCTAAGATTTTTTGAACTTAGTCATATTTACATGAGTAAGGTGTTTAGAACAGTGTCTATGATCTTCTAAGGGCACAAAAAAAGCTGGTAGCTGTAATTATTTTGGCTTTACAGTTGGTAAGACTCATGAGCCTCCTGGGGTCGATGCCAAAACTTTGGATCCAAACAAGTCCATGAGTAGCTGGATTCCAGAAGCCCAAGCTAATGTGTACCTGAAGACCAGAGTCTTTCCACCGCCCTGCTGAGTAGTACCTATGGAAGTCAAACCTTCAATTCAAGAGCTCTCAATTACTAGTATTTTGCACAGGTTTGATACCATACTTTACATTAACTGGCTCCTACTAGAGCACTACTAAATTCACTTATTAAATATTTATAGTTATCATTAAGTTTTCAATACCACAAATCACTAATAACAGACACACACGCACACTTTTCCTCTTACTGCTTCGAACTATCATAGTCAAATCAAAGCTACTACACGTTACCAGAATAGCAAAAATGTTTCAAAGTGTTAGACCTCTCGTGAATTTAATGGGAATCACAAGTAGGAGCCTATTACAATCTCAAGCCTTAAAATACTGAAAACATACAAAGTATGAAAACAATTAAGTAAACTCCGAGGTCCCATTAGCAGGAGTCGGTCCCACATGGGAAGTATTTGGTAGGAGTGAAGAACACAGTGACAACTGCTTAGTCCCACTGGATCACTCGCTCTTCTTCAGGAAGAATACTCCAGTTTGGGGAGGCCATATCCCGGGCCAGCCAGTTGAAATCGTCGACGATGTTCCAGTTATTTTTGCTTCTATCTAAACCAGAACCCTCGAAGTCCTCGTCGATGCCCGGGTAGCTCCAGGTGTAAGGGGCGAACTGGATCCCGCTGCAGTCCTCCACGATGGCCCTGCTGGTCACCTGCAAGAAGATGCGGGTGTCTCTCGTAGTGTGTACGCGGAGCTGTTGGCAGGCCACGGCCAGCACGCAATCACTGCAGTCCTCCAGGAACACAGAGGTGGACACCGGGCCGCAGAGCAGCGTGCAACCTCGGGCTTTGGCCAGCCGCAGGGTGTTGGGATTGCCATACAGTTTGATGGTGCATTTGCTCAGTTCGGTCAAAAGGACGTCGCGCTGGTGCAGTTCCTCCGCCCGCTTCTCCAAGACTTGGGACTCCACATTGGAGAAGCCGAAGACAAAGCTGGAGCCGATGCCTCCCTCCTCATTCAATGGCGGTGGGGAGGCCAGGATGCCTTCTGCGGCCGGGGCGCCAGGAGCTGCGTCGACTTTGGTGGCCGAAGCAGCGTCCTTCCTCCGGGTCTTGAAAGCGAAACGCTTCTTGGGCTGCAGCTCCTGGCGCCGCTCGGCCAGGGTCGCCTGCAGCCGCGTCACCGCCTCTTGTCCCTGCCGCAGGTCGTAGGCGGCCAGGAACAAAACCGAGTCGTTGAGAAGTTTCTGCAGGCCCTGGAGCCGAGCGGCCGCCTCCTCCAGCTGCTCCGTGGATTCCCCGCTCTCCAGAAGCTCTTCTACGGCCGCTCGCTCCCGAGCGAAGGCGGCGGCGAAAAAGTCGCTCTTCTCCTCCTCCACCTCCTGGTTCTGCCGCTTCTGCTTCCGCCTTTCCACCTCCAGCTGCCGCTCTTGTTCTCGTCTCTGAAGCCGTTCAGGCACCAGGCTCCGGTCCCGCTGCGAACCCATGGCCCCGTTTGCCGCGCCGGCGGAGCAACTAGCACTCTCCATCTTGACTTCAAGCTTCCTTTCTCCTACCTTGCTTCCTCCGGGCGCGCCCTCCGTGAGGCCTCCCACCAACGCGTCCTCTGATTGGCCGGACACGCTTACGACAGCCCCGGCCTTATTTTCTTCGCCCATTGGTTCCTCCGCGTCGGAGAGGGCGGGGATATGAGGCGGGGCCGAGTGACAAGGGGGGTGGGGAGACAAAGGTCCTTGTGGGTGGGTGGGGTGGGAGACAGGAGGGGGAAGCTTTTTTTCCTCTTAAAGGGGCAGGACTTATATCCGGGATTGTGGGGTGAGTTGCAGCAGCGGCAGCTGCACATGTGGGTTTGTTTATAAGAACAAGGTTAGAAACTCGCAGGCCTCCCCCTCCACCCAGCTCCTCCCTACTACCCCCTTACAGGCCGGAGATCCGCTACTGGTGGGGGGAATGTGTGCGTATCGTGGGTGGGGGGACAGGTAGTGGTGAGAAAGATGGACGGGGGGGGAATATTGCACCGCCCGGCCCGCGCTGGAGGAGGCGGCAGCTGGAACAGCTGGCTAGGGAGCCGCTTGCATGCCTCTAGTTTTTTCTTTTCCCTTCCACCACCCCCTTCCCCAACCCATTCCTGCCGCCCCCAAACCCTCGTTCTACCCGCCTTCCCCTCTCAGCCGCTGCAGTTCGGCGTGGCCTGGGCTCTCCTGGATTCCCGCAGGCACTTACGGGGGCGGGAGTAGGCGAGGGGCACCGGAATGGGAGAGACTGGGTTTCTCACTGCAACCGGGTTCCGGGGACCCAGGGGCTGTCTAAAAACGGATTACTATTTTTTTGGCCAATTGCTGCAGTCGGAGGGGTGGGGGCGGGGGAAGGTGCGATTCAACACCCCCCTTCCTCTTCCTCCCACGTCCTCCCCCCCCCCGCCTTCGCGGTCACTCCCTCCGCAGCTGAGGGGGTGAGACCCCAGCCCCGGGCTCTGCGGCTCTCCGTGGGGCCGTCTGTCTTTAGGAGAGCCTTAGGGGAAATGTTACATTATTTCTAGAGGTGGTGGGAGGGATTTGTCACCGGAAGTGAATGAGGCTAGCCGAAAGTCCGGAGCAGCCGGAGGTGTGAGTGGGCAACCAAGTCGGCGCAGTCACGAGCAAAATGCTGGGCAATCGGCCGGCTCAGAGCTGAGACGCTGCCGCCTGCGGGCGCGTGGCCGCCTCGCGTGCTCCGTGCAGCCCGCCGAGCGCGGGGCGCGTCTTTGATCCCGCCCGCCCTGCCAGGCTTCGGTTTTGCTCTCCACCGCGTTCCCTGCCTCCACCGTTTCTAATTGGGGTATTTGGTCAAGAAACTGTCACTTGAAATTTCACTGATACATCTGCATCTTGGTGCAGAGAAAGATGGGAGGAAACGAGAGAATTAGGACTCATTTCCAGATTTTCACGCCCCACTCTCCTCCTTCCCTTCGCATTTAAAACAACAAAACACAATACATAAATTCCTGTATTTCTCCACTGAAAGCGAGCAAGTACAGATCACAGCGCTCGGCAAATTGCGCGAGGGGATGGGGGGGTCCCGTGAGTTACGTGTGTGCAGTGGATGGGAACCGGGAACTGGGTGCTGAAGATTTTCGGTGCTTGTGTTTGTAGTATATATTCTTGGTTTTGGTTTGCTTTGTTTCTTGTGCAAGCTGGATGAGGCTTTTTGCTTTTTGTGAGGTTTGGTTCTGAGGCTGGTGAATGAAATATAGCTGGTTATCTTGTCTAAGTCATACGGGGGAGTGCATTAGCTGCTTTATTTTATAAAGAGTTGATTTAACCAAGGAAGGTTTAAAGAAGATTTATTTTGCTAGGGAAACAACAAAAAACAAAAACTTGACCTGCCTTCCATAAGTTTTTCAGCAATTGAAACTGTCCCACTCAAATTAAGAAAGTTTGTAGCCAGACAAGGTTTACTGGAGCTGCAGGTGCGTGAGGCAACATTTTTGTATTAGCCATAGTGAATCTACGGGTGGTGGTTAGTGTCTGTTTTTAGAAGTGGAATTGAACGTCGTTAAACCTTCCCAAGTTCATTTCTGCCCCAAAACAGGCTTTGGCATAGAGGCCAGTAGACTTTGGTAGTTTTGAATATTTTAAGTTGGGTAGTTCAAACTTTTATGAGAAAAAAGAGGTAAAAGGACAAACACGGACAGGTCAGCCTGTTGACCCCGTGTGTTGAAGGCAGTTTCAGAGACTGACGTGAAGTCTGAGTGGGAATGGCCAGGGGTCAGTGATGCGGTCCTCATGAAGCATGGGCTTGTCGGTTCTCTACAGCCGCCCGCACAGCTGCAAGCCAAGGTTAGGTGGTCAGGATATGAAGGTGAAGCTACATTTCTATGTTCAAAAGCAATAGGAGGGTGGAAAACCTCTGGCAGTGTCAGACTCCTATTTGGGTCTTTTTTCTGACAATTGAGGGCAGTCACTTCAGTGTGCATCCTTGAAAGGGATCCCAGCTCCTGGGAGGGAAGAGCCTGTTCCAGTGCAAGGAGAGAGGGTGATTCATGACAACAGTGTGACATGTGGCAAAAGGCAAGCCGTGCCAGAGCTCCAAATCCTACTTTCGAAGAGCTTGTGAATCAAGGACTGCTGCTCTCTTTTAGACATCTTGAAAGAATCCTAACGTGTTCCAGACTTTAAAAATTATTTAACTAACATTTACGGTTTATGGTTCTGTTTGTGAGACTGACTTTTTAACATCTTGAACATTTCAAACATAGTAAAGGGGACAGTGAAGGGGATGGGTACTCATCACCCAGGCTTCGACAGTTACCAACTGACTGGTTTCTTCCAAAACTCTGGCCACTTACACACCCCATCACCCTGATTATTTTAAATCTTTTTTTTTAAGATTTTATTTATTTATTTGAGAGAGAGAGAATGAGAGATAGAGAGCATGAGAGGGAAGAGGGTCAGAGGGAGAAGCCGACTCCCTGCTGAGCAGGGAGCCCGATGTGGGACTTGATCCCAGGACTCCAGGATCATGACCTGAGCCGAAGGCAGTCACTTAACCAACTGAGCCACCCAGGCACCCCCTGATTATTTTATAGCAAATCCCAGACATGGTAATACTTCATATTCTACAATCTATACATATTTCAATATGTCTCAAAAGGATGAGGACTGCCTTTTTAAAACATGACCACATACCATCACAGTATTCCAAAAATGTAGTGATATTTCCTTATTATCATCAGAGTTCTAGTCTATATTCAGATTTCTTTGATTATCCTATAATTTCCCCCCCTTTTTAAGTTACTTATTGACTAAGGATCCAAAAAAGTTCCCCATAATGTGTCTAGTTGATCTGTTCCTTCAGTCACTTTAATCACTTTTAAATCCACCCCACCCCCACCCCCCAGCAATTACTTTGTTGGAAAAACTTGATCATTTGTTCAGTAGAGTTCCCCACAGTCTGGATTTTGCTGGTTGCGTCTCCATTCTGTATTGGATGTTAAGTATTTGTTGTATTCATTTGATCTTTGTTTTGTTTTGTTTTATTTGACAGAGAGACAGCGAGAGAGGGAACACAAGGAGGGGGAGTGGGAGAGGGAGAAGCAGGTCTGCTGAGCAAGGAGCCTAATGCAGGACTCGATCCCAGGACCCTGGGATCATGACCTGAGCCAAAGGCAGACGCTTAACGACTGAGCCACCCAGGCGCCCCTCATTTGATCTTTTAGTGTCATAAGTGAATGTTTATGTATTAGTATGCCACAGGAAATGAAAGCTGAATTTTAGCACAGAAAACAGTCTTTGGGTATGGCTGGACAGCCAGGATTAAGGCCTCTTGCCGTTCTGTGGAGTTTTTCGGTGACCCTGTGTGGATGGGAGATACCAGGCAAATAAAGAGGTCCAGACCCTGTCTCTGTTCCAAAAAGGAGGTGGCATCTTTCAGCAAACACTGACTATATAGTGGGTATAAAGATTTTATTTATTTATTTATTTGAGAGAGAATGAGAGAGCATGAGAGGGGGAGGGTCAGAGGGCGAAGCAGACTCCCCGCCGAGCAGGGAGCCCAATGCAGGACTCAGCCAGGGACTCCAGGATCATAACCTGAGCCGAAGGCAGTCGCTTAACCAACTGAGCCACCCAGGCGCCCTATATAGTGGGTATAAAGCATTCATTAAAGAGCTCTACATGCCAAGTATCTAACGTTGGGCAAATTTTCCAACTTAGTTGCTGACTTTTCTGACCCAGAAAGAGGACAGCATGAAGGCTGTGCTGTCCTTGAAAGGCTCCAAGTCGGTCTGGGAAGCAGGACAGGAGCAACCCCTTCCTTCCACCTCTGCCGCCCCCCGCCCCACCGCCTCTCCTCCCCTTCAACCCCCTTCAGCTTTCTGGAATGATTTTCATCATTATACACCCAATGCCGTTTATGAATCTAGCATCAGTTTATGAAGCACTTGCTGCGCTCCCCCACTGAGCCCACGGATGCCCTCAGGCTGCCAAGGTGAATGAAGACAGACAGAGTCTCCTTCCTCCTTGGGGAGGGCTAACAGGGCCATATAAGAAACAGTAAATACTCTTATAATGTTCACTAGATACTATTTTCTGTTCTGCTTACTGCATTTCAGAAATACTGATCAAGCCCCCTTAAATTAAACTGGAGTTTAGAAATGCCGTATCAGCAGGAGAGGGTGCAGCTGTAGGTAAATTTGTATGTTTGGTAATTGTCAGATGAGTCGGATGGTTTCTGTGTGCTCTGTAAAGTAGGCAGTGAGGTCCTCTGCTGGGTATGGGAGGGAAGGGATGGGGGTGTCTAAAAGTGTGGGGAAGGTTTGGAAGCTCTATGGGAAGAGGATCAGTATGTTGCCCAGAGAAGTGGGGCTGAGTGGTGTGGATGTTCAGCCCGCACTTGGAAAATGAATGAGGGAATGAATGAGAACCTCCCAGAGACCAGTTCAGGGGAGGGACACGGGGTTTGGGGCAGCCCAGAGGAAAGAAGCTGGTGTTGAGAGCCTGACCCTCAGAAGGCAGGGAATCCCCATAAGGCAACTTCTCCAGAAGAATCTGAGGCTTGCCACTGGCAGTCCCTCATGCATTCCCTATAAGACTCTTCAGAAACTTCTTTCACAGGGTGCCTGGGTGGTTCCGTGGGTTAAGTGTCTGACTTCAGCTCAGGTCATGATCCCAGAATCCCGGGGTCAAGCCCCACGTTAGGCTCCCTGCTCAGCAGGGAGTCTGCTTCTCCCTCTGCCCCTCCCCCTGCTCGCATG